CAAATTTATTTGCCTCCAGCATATTCCCAGCCAATCTCTATCTTTAAATTGGAGCAAACACACATGCTACTCATAGAGTGAGCAAAAATAAAGTCTGATGTTTACATATTAAATATCAGCAAAAATCAGAACAGTTAACTGGTAAAATACAGCAAAAAAGGCAAGAAGAGAGAGAAACATAAGCAACAAGCAAGAACATAAATTAACTATATAGCTAATTCAAAAGAACAGGGAACTTTTCAAAACCATCCAAAACAATCCTGTGTGATAATTAATATGGAAGGTCCCAAAGGTTAATTGATCTTTAACCTTTCCCCCTCCCCTATATAATGGCAATAAAATGGAGATGGAAAATAGACTATCAGACGATTCTTCCTCTATTCTACACCATGAAGGAAATAATTTGGTGGACAGCAATTATTTGTAATCTTATAAAACATAAAATTTTAAAACCAAAGGCTGGAAATGAATGAACAGATGTTTCAGCTCTTTTGACCTGCCTCCAACTTATATTAGTTATAGACTTGGCATGATCACGTTTACTATCGTACTACCAGTAGTATACTTAACACCAAGTTTGTAAACTGGTATTTTTCGCAATAGAGCCTTACTAGTATTTTCATTGGCAAGCGGTTATGAAAGTTGCAATTCAATCCACATAGAAGCCGCCAGGTTGCCTATTCTGTGGCCTAAATGAAGCCAATGTAATACAGGTGGTCCTTGACTTATGATCACAATTGAGCCCAACATTTCTGGTGTTAAATGAAATATTTGTTAAGTGCGTTCTGTCCCATTTTACAATATTTCTTGCCACAGTGAATCACTGCAGTTGGTAAGTTAGTAGCCCAGTTGTTAAGTGAATCTGGCTTCCCCATTGAGTTTGCTTGTCAGAAGGCGTAAAAGGCGATCACATGATCCCAGGACACTGCAACCTGTCATAAATTCATGCTAGTTGCCATGTGTCCGAATTTTAATCACATGCCCATGGGGATGCTGCAATGGTTGTAAATGTGAAAAACGGTCTTAAGTCTCATTTTTCAATGCTGTTGTAACTTTGAACAGTCACTAAATGAACTGTTGTAAGCCAAGGACTACCTGTATTCCACATCCATTTTTGCCATCTATGTCAATGTATTAAGAACTTTCTAATGGATGGCAGGAATATCATGCAGATTGATGCTGTAATCTAGAGATATAGGATCCCCTTTACAAGTTTACAAAAACAACCCAACCACATATTGATCAAGATATACCAGAAGCCTTTATTTATATGCTGTTATTAAAAACTGTACAGTTTTGAGATTAATACGCACTTGCATGAATAAACTAATACTGTAGGTGAGAAAAGATATTTCTATATAGTCTTTCTATACAGACTTGGTATGTTCACACAGCATACTTCTCCATTAGCAGAAATAATTGAATCAAATTCACATAACCTGAGCTATGAAACAAACTCAGGAACTGCCCTAAATTGTGGTTGGTTAATTTAAAGTTGCAAGTTTTTATGTGAATACTGCCTTTGGATTATGTATTATGTTAGGACCAAATAGAGAATATGCAATAAATTCCATGCTAGGATTTATGATTTAAATTAAGGATGTTTGTGTGATAAAAGACACACTTATGTTTTACTAATTTGCAAATAATGGCAGATTACAAGAAATACAACAGGAAACAAGGCTAAATATCTCATTTGATGTATTCGGTTACTTTCCTTTTGCTCAATTATCATACGCTTCAGTACAAGCATTTGTGTGTATATACAGCTCAGTTCTGTGATCTTCATTAGAACCCTTTGGCCAGCTGCAGCTATAGCCTGAAGCTGACCACTGCTTAATCAATTTTACACAGCAGGCCTTTCTTATAGTAAATGGAGGCACTGGTCCTAAAGTTACTTTTTCATCATCATCATAATTACAAACTGCCACTATCCAAGGTTCCTCTCTCTATGGAGTGGTATTTATCCCCTTTCTTAGCTGGGGGAGCCAGTGTTATCTGAAGACATTTCGGTCATCAGTTGGCCAGCATGACTATATAGCAAGACCTATGAAATGCTGTTACCTTCCCACCAAAGTGGTACCTAGTTATCTATTCACATTTGCGTGCTTCCAAAGTAGTTGCTAAATGAAGACTACCTCTGTGTATGTGTGTATACATAAAAAATAACCTAGCTTGATATGAAAGATGTAAAATGGGCTATGATGCTATGTAACTGTCCCTGTGACACCCTTCCAAGGAAATCAGTCAGTTTTCTGAGTGGAAAAGATAAAAATGGGAAGAAGAAATTGGAAGAAAAAAGGAAAGGCCCTCATCTGATGCACTACAATCATATATTTGATTATGAATATCAAAGGTTAATCCCTTATTAAATAAACTTTAAAAAAATACTATATACAGTTTGGATGAATTAATACCCAGGTACCTGGAGGTAGTATACCAGTATTAATCTGCTGTCTTTGATTGCAGAGTAGAAAGAGGTATGCCACATACTGGCCTCAGTCCTAATACTATCAAAGGGCTATGTTTTGAATGCAGCTAGCATAACAGACATGTATATTGCAAGTGCAGTGAAGATGTTGGAATAGGAATGGGAAGACACAGATTCTAGTGTTTCCTTAGCCATGGAAACATACTGGGTGATAAGAACCAATCTCTGTGTCCAGCTAACCTCATGGGCGGGTTGCTATGGAGAGAAATATGAGGGTGCTCTCTATCCTGTTTGAAATTATGAAAGAAAAGATAGACTATTTATCAAATAAAGTAACATACAAGTAATTGCAAGCATGCATTTATACAACTGCATAGAAGCTGCTGTTGTTTGAAGTACTATTTCATTTCAGGGAGGGAGGGTGAGCAAATCCCCAAATATATCAGTTTTCTCAGCCTTCCCCTCATCCATAAAATATCAGGCTTTTCTCCCAATGCAGTTCTAGCTCCAGAAATACAACAATAGCAGGGAATTGAAGAGTTAAAACCTTTCTTCCCTGCGCTGTTAACTGGACACCATTTGTCAATGAATTCATTTATATTTTTTAAGATTGCACATTCAAGATTAGGGATGATTTGTTATTTAATAATTCACAGGAAAGAGGGTGAGTTTAGCTATTGTGGAATTTACAGATAATGACCAGGAAAGATATGTGGTAGCTGGGTAAGATTCACACTGCCAGCACCAGTGACTGAGCAAAGAAAACCAAGATAAACCTTTGTCAAGGAGATAATTTTAAGATAATGTGGATGTACAGCACTGGCAGTTCAGACTTTATACTAAGCCACAATTATTAACCAGGTTTTATTGACCAAATTGTAATGCTTGAACCCATTACACTAAATTACAAAGTTTAATTTCCATTATAGCTTAATACAATGCTTATTGCCCATCATCCAGACCTGAATTCCACATTGCAAGCTGAGACATGGGGCACTTGGCGGTCAATTGCAGTTATAAAGTTATTGGTCTCTGTGTATGATGTTTGTATGTTTGTAAGCAAACAGAGTATCTTAAAAAGCCAATGTAACTCTTTTAAAAAACCTCTTTCCAATGAAATGACTATGGCCAACACATATATTCTTTAGCTTCTCCTCAGAGAAATGGGAAGAGCCATCTGACTAAGCTGACTATCCTAGGATAATCATGTATTTGTTTCACTCCATAAAGTCGAATATCAGAAATGTGTTACCCAATTTAGCATTTTTGTGCTGACAAGGGTGAGTTGTGAAAAATTAGATCCCTGCATCCATTCTTGCATACCCTAACTGGAGCAGGCCCAAAGCCCATATAAGCTAATGGCCTGTTCATATATAGCTAACAAGATGCCATGAGAAGCCCACAAGTTGGATATATACAACTTTCAGGAAGCAAGTACTGATTAGCACACTTCTACTCATATTTGTTATTTAACCAATGATTTTCATATAACAGCCACTGATAGGTTTTCATTCCAATACCCTCTGAATGTTTTTTTCTAAACTGATGGAGCTACTTCCACAGGCTAAACTATGCCTTGCATGAAGTAGCACTTCTTCTTTCTTATGTTGAATTTTACATCATGTCAAAACAATGGGATTTTGCTTTATTTTAAAATCACAAATGCTAGAAACTGTCATGAACCAGAGAAGAAGCCATTGAATAGGTCACTGTGCCCAAAGCCCTAAATGTGAATGATCTCAAAGTTCACAGTTGTTTGGTTAACCTAGTAATGGTGAATCTATGACACCTACAACAAGGATGACACACTACATTTTGGTGACTCCCCATTATCCAGCTACTATTCCCAAAAATACATATCATTTCTCAGACAGCTTTTGGAAACTGTGGAGGCTGTGCTCTCACATGACCTGTGGAAGTTGCATGAAAGGATTGTGCTCTTGCACAACTTCCTGAGCCTTTGAAAATCGTGTGAGAATGGGGCTTGCTTTTATGTGATTTTCGGAAGCTGCGGAAGAGCACTATCCAAAGGTACTTCAAGAACAAAAGCCTCATGAATCCAGAGCTGCCACAGGTAGGTTACAAGGAACTGACAAAAGAAAAGAGCACTGAAGGCAAGCAGCATATGGCAGATTCCTGGGGAATCACACCCAATTTGATTGAACTTTTTTAAAAATAAAAGAACAAATTGTGAGTGCTTGTATGAGGGGGGGGAGGGGGAGGGGGCAGCACAGCCAAGTCAGGCATTTTCTGAATTGTTGATATGCCTAGCCCGGTGGGTTCACCATCACTGGGTTAAGTTGTCCAGTCACAAGTGCCTAGGCTGCCTTTACTTGACCAGATTGTAGGCCAAGAAGCAAGGAGACAATGTGTAACCCCAGCTGCTCTTGGTTTTTTTGTCCTTGTCCAAGACTTTATGCAGAAAAGACAGAAGCAGCAAAAAAAAAGTGAGAGAGGCGTCTTTGAAGTATCAGTTTTTATTGCCTGCTCTTAAACAGCACATACTTCGTAGTAGGTTTCTCACATCACTACAAAGCAATTGCTCAAAGTCTAATTAATGCACAACTTAAATCACAATTGTAACTGTCAATCATTTAGACATCTTATCCATTGATAATACAACATTAACGCAAAGGGTCAAAAAAAAAAAGGAAAAAAAAGTAGTGAGAAGGGAAAAACAAGAGATACACCAAATCTTGCAATTGGGGTTGGAAAAGCAAATATTGCAAACAGTGTAAGTTGGAAATATCTTTGGAGGTTATGAGGAAAGGACAGAAAGAAAGACTAGAGGAGGAAATCAAAACAGAGAATTGAAAAGTATCTGCCAACTCATACAAGGCACTTTTACACTGAGCAGGCTATCACTCTCTTTTTCTCCAGAGCCTTCTTATTGCTTGGACTTCTGGATTCCTTGGAATTGAATTCATTCCAAAAAAATGTTGTATGTGCCCAAACACCATACATAAAGATTATTCCCCCTGCCAAGAAATCACAAAATTTAGTGTTTTAAGAGAGCTCTCCCTCTCCCTCTCCCTCTCCCTCTCGTATTGTGGAAACCCCTGGTTCCATCAGGCCCTCGAGGTAGGCGGATCACTGTGGGACAGACACCTACTGGTTTACAGAAGATTGTGGAACTAGGTCGTGAACCCAAGGACTCTGGTTTCTGTATGAGTGGTCGACTGTAGAGTGGTCCATGCCTCTTTGGTGTCTCCAAGGTTTCTGGACCTACTCTGTTGCCCCAGCAGGAGTTGGATGGTTTCTGCAATTCTGATGTGCCTGACTTCAGTGCAGAAACAGGTGAGGGGCATAGCTGCCATGCCAATGGTTTGCGTAGTTGAAGAGAGCCTGCATGTGATATGCTGGAGGAATTTGGTTTGAAGGCCTGACCTGATGAGTTGCAGGGCTTAGTTGTAGACATGACTGGAGCAGAGAAGAAATTCCGAGGAATGATAGGAGTAGAAACTCGAATACTATCTGGTTCTGTAGAAGAACTGCAGGGAGAGGAGTCTTCAAGGATATGTTGAAGGCCTTCTGACAATTTGTTGGACCATTTTCTAAAAGGCTTTGGCACTTCTTCAATCTTCTCACTATCTTCCTGACTGACCATGTTCGTCTTTTTGAGAGTAGAGAGATTGATTACTTTGATGCTTTGCCCAGGAGAAGAGAACTGCTTGTGGCTAAGCCCTCCAAAAGCCTTTTGGGCACTCTTCAGCCTTTCATATTCCACCAATGCACACCATCTGGACAGAAGCTCAGGATAGGGAGAGGTAGATTTCGCCACCACTGAGGGCAGTTTTTTGCCCGGTCTGAAGATGCGTATGCAGGCAATGTCACCAAAAGGCCCAAACAGCTTTGTGATTGTATCCAGAAAGGTTTCTTGAAGCAGGAGTGAAGAAGAAGCGGATTGTTCACATGAAAGGACGTTCCAGGCAAGGAGCGTCTTGTTTAGAGGGATGTTCACCAAAGATTCTGGGACAGGGTCCTTCCTCCTCACCTTGGTCCCATCTTCATTGAGTTCCAGCAACTTCGAGAATTGCAGAGCATAAAGGGTCACTCGCCAGTTCCGAGTTAAACATTTCATCTAGTTATTTTTTTAAAAAAAGAGAAACATTAGTAGTAAGATTACCTTGATAAAGATATGCAAGCTTTCTTGACAAGAGATAAAACATATTTTAAATTCAGAACATACAGATAATATTCAGAAGTAGTTCAAACCTCCCTAATTCCCAAATTTTATTAAAATTATAATAATAAAATCTAATTCAAATTTAGCAAAAAAAGTATGGAAATGGATAAAAAGTGCAAGAGAAAAGGGAAAAGAGGAAGAAAAAGAAAAGAACATTATAAAAAAGAGAAAACAAATAAAGAAGCGACCTCCAAAAGTGACCTTTTATATTTATCACAAATATAAAAAATTTAGAGACTCTTTCCTCTCTCTAAGACGGCAAACATATCTTCATCCCATATACCATCTCTTATCTATAAACAAATCTATAAAACATCATCTTTTCAGTCCTGGTGTCAGAGAAAATTCAAAAATGGTTAGAAGTAACAACACATCTCATTTAAGCCTTGATTAGATAAACCCAGTGCTTTTTTTCTCATAGAACGCCCAGAACGGAGTTCCGGCACCCTTTTTGGATGGAACCTTGTAGGGTAGGCAAGGCAGGTTGTATGATGTATGTGAGTTCCAGCACCTTTTTTTTTTTTTTTTACAAAAAAAGCACTGGATAAACCAGCTTAAAGGAATGGAATTAAAAAATAGTAGTCATAATATCAATAATGTCAGTAATAAGGTCTGCTTCTATGGATAGACCATTCAAAAGTTGTTATTGCGACCAGATATAGAAGGGCATCAGATTGGGAAACCATGGTCTGAAAGCAAAGATGTCCATATCCTTGGATCCAAGCACACGCCTAACATCTCTCTTTACAGTCAAGCATTAAAAAAAATACCCACCTTTTTGAAAGTTGTCAGAAGTTTAATGCTCACAAATCCCATCTTGTTCCTTTGCATATGCCTCAGGAGGAATACATCTCTGGACAAGTTGTCATCCGAAAAGTAGAATTCCACTTGCGACACGATTCTTTTGACAAGGAATGGATCTGGAATAGTGAAACCGCTGCTCTCAGAGGTGCTTGAGCTGAGGTCATTCAAGTTGTTCGGAGTCCTTCTCAGGGATAAGGAAAAAGACCAAGACATACAAAAAATTAAAGCCAGTGTCTTAAAAATACAGGAACTTAGAACAAATGTGGATATAATTTTATTGCATTTCTGCTATTTGCTCCTGTTGTACGGTATTGTAAGTTAACACATGAGAGCATGCTATAATTTGATCTGACTGGCTTTACTGTTGTATGAATGCAGTGATTGTGGCTTGCAAACTTAGCAGACTGTGTTCTTCCTCTGAATCTGGTACAGAAATGGGGCAGTTTTTGAAAGACCATTAAAAGAATGTAATATTCTATTGGTTGACAATATACGGAATTGACCACACAATATTTGCAAACTAGGGCTAAAATCAGTTTAAAGGACTGAGGAAGGGATACAATCTTATGCCATCTGCAGACACTAAATTCTTCATGCACACACATAAACCTGAATACTTAGACATTCCAGCAAATGTAAATGCTCTATTTCTTATGAAAAAAAAAAAACCATTAATTCAGCTTTTACATTGCCATCTCATCTGACTCTGGGAGGTTTAAAACAATGCCTCCTGAAAAGCCATTGCACTTTAAGATGATATTCTTAATTCATCTTCATCTAATATCATTCAAGTGATATTTAAGATGAATTATGGCTGCAGCACTTTCTCTGCAATGGAATTCAACTAGTTATGATTTATATTATTAAGCAAATTTATACAGGCATTAATTTCACAGAAGTGACTCAGATTGATGTAATAAGCAAATAAAACTACAGTGTAAAAACAATCTTTTTTTAAGGTTTTAAGTTTAGAGAACTCTGGCCAGGAGAACCTGGATTGCTGTGTTGTTGTCATATTGAGGCTACATAAAAAACTACTTAATTAAAACTTCTTCAGTGATGGAATGAAGGCTATCCAGGATTAGTGATGGATATAATAGGACTGGGTCCAGATGTCATGCTAAATTATTATTTGCTTAGCAATGGTTAAACCATAATTGATTGTATTAACATAAGCCATAAATCATGATTTATAAACCACAATGAGTTTATAAACCATGATATATGGCTTATGTTACACACAAACTCAGCCAAAATCCAAGAGAGCAGTGTATATCTGCTGACTACTGATTAGGAATTTTGGGATCTGTGCTCCCAAAACTTTTGAAGAATGCCAGGGAAGGTTGAAATGAAAGGTTGGTTTTCTCAATTTGGAATGTTTCCCTTGACGCATGGAAGATATTTCACCACCAGATAAGCTAATCTGCTCTCATTGTCTTTTCGTAAAATAATGTTTTTATCACTCACCATTTAGTTAATTTTACCCATAGATATAAGTGGAAAGTGTTTCTCACCTAGCCATTATTTCCTTTCGTTGCATAAAGGAGCTCCTTGCAGCTTGAGAAAAGGAAGGGAGGGGACAATATCTGGGGGACTGGATTGGAAATGGAAAAAAATATTTCAGCTGGGAATCACACCTGAAAGCCATTGTATGATACACTGCTTCGTCTGTGAAGGTAACACAAGAGAAGCCCTGTAGAAAGACAGCATTTCTTTTATTACTATTTGTTGCAAACTGATCCAGTTCAAATAAAGCACATTATGGTTTGACATAATGAATGAATCCAGCCACAGACATCCAAGGAAGCTCAAAAGGAACTCTTATTAAAACATCCTCTTAAGAAGACTCAGAAGAAAACTACAAATAAACAAGCATCAATCAAAGTAACTTCTAATTAAGAAATTGTTGCAGCAAAATTCTAAATGTTTAGAAGTTGCATTTCTATTATTTTGCCCCCAGGTACAGAGACAAATTATTAATTCAAGGTTCCCTTGCAGCTTCAGACTTCTACTTGTTTCCCCAATCTAGGTTGGAGCAGAATCACAATTGGTCTTTTTTCATAATATTCCTCTGCCCTGCAGGGGGCACAGGAAAAATAGAAATAATGAACATCTTTTAATCTATCAAGAAATACATTTTAGAAGATTATTTGAAGTATACTACTTTCCAACTACCCATACCACCTGACTCACTGTTGTAGCTACAAAGGTTGTAACTATTCCACTAGTTCACCTGGATTTGAAAAATGCTCTTCAACTACTCACTCCAGATAGTGTTTGTTGTCCTTTTACAAAAGTCATCTTGAAAAAAATCTGAAGACTGAGAAAATGCTAACCTGTTGAAAGAGTTCTTAAGAGAAGTTTTCAGAAAGGGACCATCAGCTGCTCCCATTTGAATATTAAGGCAACCAGCTAAAGCCTACAGCTGAAGCCAATTTCCATCTTAAGGGTAAAGAGTTCCATCAAGAAATATAGAATGAGCGGCATCAACCAAACTAATAAACTGTAGTTGATTGAGGCTTAGTCACAGCAATTTTAAAAAAATATATCCTGAATTCACTAAACATTATACCAAAACACTGTGTCTAGTCTTGTTTTGGTTTACACGTCATGGATGTATTCAGTATGTTTCATGAACCTAGCCATAACTTTTGGGCTTCTTCAATATAGTACTAATCTTAATGTGTTCTGGGCATTCAACCAGTATTATTTATTCAACAACCTTGATTATGCATCCTGTTTAGGTTGATGGGAAAACACAATACCTTTAGAAACTGGATTAACCTTGTTTTTCTTTAAACAGAGAATGGATTCCTAACTCTTTCTGCCCCAAGATACATGATTAGACAAATTGATTTGTTGATTTAGCTTTGCTTGCAATTAGACAGCTATGTTGAAAGAGATCGCACATTAAACTCTCTCCCATATATCCTTTTTTGTCTGTGAATAGGAGTTAGCATTAGGTGAAGCTACCAAGTTGACTGCATTAAGTCTGCAGTTCAAGTGATCATATGATAAAAGTCCAGTGTTTGTGTTTGGAATAACTTATCAGAATAAAAGATTTTTGAAGGTCATACATAGATCATTGTGAAGTACTTTGAAAGTAGACTAATCTGAATCGTCAAAGTAAAACTACCATGAGGTTAAAAAACTAAAATGTTCTAGAAGTCAACCTCAATTGCAGGGACACAGCCATACACTAAACTTGGAAGTGTTAAAACAGTGGTTTACCTTCTATAAGATTCTGCTGAGCTTCTGAGCCTAGATAAAAATTGGGTTTATTAGTAAAATATGGTTCAGTTAGCCACTGGTAAGCATGCCATGCAGCCATAGAACTTGTGTTTGGTGTGAAAGCATAACCACCCCTCCTTTCTCTTGCCTCTCCCCCCCCCCTCCTGATTGGATTATCACATCACACTCCCGGGGGTAGACAATCTGCAGATTGCATAGTCCCAAAAATGGACAGTACACAAATCACCCCACTATGCTACCTAAATCTAGTATTCAGTAGTGTTTGTGTAAAATCTGGTATCTGCCCACAGTCAGAGACTTTTAAGAGATCATTGGCATGCCACTCTATGACCACCATGGGCTCAAGCAACATGGAGCAATTGAACATTGCATGTCACAAGCCAAAATCAAACAAACCATAGTATGGCTAGGCTGATGGCTAAAAGCAGCCATATTGTGCTTTCCTTCTCCCCATGAAACTGAGAGATGATTCCAGACTTTCTTTGTCTACCACAGTCGGCAGATAGAGAAGTAAATCACCCTGAGGTCTCCACTTGTAGGATTGGATACTGCTCCAATCATAGTAAGAGGGGAATAACACCAACATGTTGCAAACATAATAAATACATGCCAATTGCCAAGCACCCAAATTTTGAGCACATAAAATGGGAATGCTGCAGCAGGTTGTAAGTGTGAGGACTGGTCATAAGTCACTTTTCTCAGTGCTATTGTAACTTTGAATGGTTGTTAAGTGAATGGTTTTAGATTGAAGACTACTTGTAAAGGCATTTTGGGAGCACATGTGAGGAACTCATTGAATCTAATGCATAACCCTACCCACACTATTGGCTCTGATCAAGGAGAGAAACTATGCCATCACAGTATTAGTCATGATCTCTGGTGTTGATACTTGTGGAACTTTTTTTAATATATAAGGAATTAGTACAATTCTAAAAAGAGAGGAAAAACATTGAAAAGTGGGAGAATCAAAAGCATTCATTCTGTTCTTGCCTGATTGTAGCCCCACCCCCACCCCCGAGGACTTAGGAAGTCATGTTTTTGCCATCACAGCCCTCCCCCTGCACACCCAGAAACCCTACATTGGGGCTTATGAAACCGTGTTGTTTCTACAGGGGACTCCTGGGGGCTCAAAAAGAGTCAGGACGGGAGCATTGCTTCTGCTCTCCTTTAGTAAGTTGTGGTTCCTCTTTTTCTCCTTCTTAAATTTATCTTTTCAGCTATAATTGCCTTTGAGGTTCCTGTAGGAATTTGGGCTTTGGCAGATACAATTATAGCTTTTTTCGTACATTATTTAAATGCCAATGATTTTTTTTAGAGAACTCTAAAATTAAAAGAAAGAAAGAATTAAACAGCTACCATTTCAAAGGTTTTCATTAACTGTGACTCGTTGGAGTTATATGGGAGCTTATGTTACCATAGATACTGTTACTGGAGTTATTGTGGTCTCAAACTTGGTCTGTGTTGTTGTCTCTTGCAAATGTGTGTATGTGTATGTGTGTGTATGTGTGTGTGTGTGTCAGTGTGTGTGTGTTTGTGCACCCAGAAAAAGATACAGTCTTCCTTCTGTCAGCTCCATCTGTTGATTCTGAAATGCTGTTTTTTCATTAAGGATACAAGATTAAAAAATAACCTAGGTGCAAAACTGAACCCACTCCCCTCACCCCACCCCCTCTCCCAAACAAGAAAAAAAGCCCCAGAATAATTATTATAAGGACAGACATAAGCTGGTGTTTTTGTTTTTGCTGGACATACTGAATATTTTACGGGGATCGGTAGGTGATGAATATATCTGAATTTGCATATTTTTTTCCTTATTTATTTCAAAAAATTTATATTCCACCTGTCCAAATTGCCTTTCATACTGCGCAGCATGGAAGCTGTGCTCCAAGCTGAACCCCCATTTGGCCAAATAAAGTGCCTGGAACTTACATCAATTGTGACTAAGTTAACTCCAACTGATTTCAGTGGTTGGATTCTCACTCAGTGAGAACTATGGTTTGTTTTATGTTTTGCTAAACAAACCATAGTAGTCTGATTCATACATTACTTCACTGTGTCTGGATTCAGACAAGTTGCTAAGCTCAAACTGAACCACATTAAGACAATGTTTTAACTTGACCAATGGGTTTTCTATAAGAATAATTAACTATGAAAGAAACCCCACTGACTTCATGAGAAGATTATATTTAAATTCGAAACAACAGAGAGCTAAATTGGGCTGATGAAAATGAAATGCAAATTCAGATTCACAAATTTAGGGTATGAATTACCACCTGGTTTTTTTACAACTTTTAGAAAATCTGTACTAAATTTTAGTATAACTAGCTAAGTAGGTTTGTGCCCTGATTTAGCCATGGCAATTCTCATAGGAAAACAGAATATCCACAATGAATCTACTAGAAATGTAATGAATATAATATATAAATTTAATAATGCCAACTTTTCTAAGCTGGTATTCTCAAAATATGGTAGAATGCAACCCCAATCATACTTAACCAATTGCTTTTATTTTTTCCACATTCAGTTGTGTCCAGTCTTCAGATATTGCCTGAACACATCTCTGCAGTTTTCTTGGCAAAGTTTTATGAGAAGTAGTTGGTCATTGCTTCTACCTAGAGTTGGGAGAAAGTGACTGATCCTAGGTCATCCCATGGCTTTATGCCTAAGGTGGCACTAGAAGTCACAGTCTCCCAATTTCTAACCTGATGCCTTAACCATCACTTCAAACTGGTTCTCAAACAATGCTTAGAAACTGCCAGACTGGTGGGAGAATAAGTGTTAAAGGTAGTAAATGAGTCCACTGAGTAAATAAAAGGTACATGCTAAGTTTTTGTGACTGTGATTTTTTTTTTTTACTTTCTGCAGTATACTCCTGTAGCAATGGGACTTCTACTTTGCCTAGTATTGTTAACAGAAATATAACTTCTGTTCCCAAGAAGCATAGAAAGAAAATAGCCAGCAAAATAAATAACATTGCAAATTACATAGGTTGCTGAAAGCCAGACTCTTGTTGTCTTCTATACTTTTATGGAATGAAGTCCTGTAGAAGCTTGATGACACTTAGGCTACAAGCTTAGGCTATTTAGGCTGCAAAATAGCACCTGTCCACTACATGATGATAGAGATGTAACTGTGGGCTTCTTTGTGCCCATAACTTAGATGCCAGGTTAAAATGTAGTTGGCTGCTTTGTACTTCATTGTGTTGTCCAAATGCATCTTAAGATTTATATCCTGCTATTTTCTTCTTTAAACAGCTTGGGAGGTAGCAAA